AACTGTCAAAATGGTGAGGAAAGAACGCCAGTTTAGTCATTTTTTTACAAAATCATACCCTCAATACCCTGAATGGATTGTTTTTACAGCTTTCCTGTTTTCCAACAGATAACGACGAGTGTGCCTCCTCACCATGTGGTATCAATGGAGACTGTGTGGATGGCGTCAACTCCTACACCTGTAACTGCAAGCCAGGTTACAACGGAACAAACTGTCAAAATGGTGAGCAAAGCACTCCAGTTTACTTATTTTGTTACAAAATCATGCCCTCAATACTATATATGTATTGTTATTATAGCTTTTCCATTTTCCAACAGATATCGACGAGTGCGCCTCCTCACCATGCGGTATGAATGGAGACTGTGTGGATGGCGTCAACTCCTACACCTGTAACTGTCACCCGGGTTACAGCGGGATTAACTGTCAAAATGGTGAGGAAAACCCTTCAAACATTGTTTCCTTTTGGAGCCGCATTCTGGAGTTAGTTAGACGATGTCCATGTTCTCTTGTTTCTGACCTGTTTTTAATTTTCTACCAGATATCGACGAGTGCGCCTCCTTACCATGCGGTATGAATGGCGACTGTGTGGATGGCGTCAACTCCTACACCTGTAACTGTCACCCGGGTTACAGCGGGATTAACTGTGGAAATGGTGAGGATACTCGCCGATTTTTGTGATAAGTTTAGGGCAATATTTATTGTTGCTTGCCAATGCCATCTCTATATATTTGTCTACAGCTTTTTTATTTTCCAACAGATATCGACGAGTGTGCATCCTCACCATGTGGCAGCAATGGAGACTGTGTGGATGGCGTCAACTCCTACATCTGTAACTGTCACCCGGGTTACAGCAGGATTAACTGTGAGGATGGTGAGGAAAATTACTTACATAACTCCTCTTCTTTAAAGCAGCATTCAGTAAATTATACAATGTCGTTGCTTTTTTGTTGCTGACCTCTTTTTTCCACAGATATCAATGAGTGTGCCTCCTCACCATGTGGCAGCAATGGAGAATGTGTGGATGGCGTCAACTCCTACATCTGTAACTGTAAGCCAGGTTACAACGGGACCAACTGCGGAAATGGTGAGAAAAACTATTATAATGACAGTTGGTGACTTTTCTATCACTACAATATTTCCTGTTTGTAGTTGTCTTGTTTTGTGTCCATTGTTTTAAAGTTTTCCATTTTTGTAGATATAGACGAGTGTGCCTCCTCACCATGCGGTATGAATGGCGACTGTGTGGATGGCGTCAACTCCTACACCTGTAACTGTCACCCGGGTTACAGCGGGATTAACTGTGGAAATGGTGAGGATACTCGCCGATTTTTGTGATAAGTTTAGGGCAATATTTATTGTTGCTTGCCAATGCCATCTCTATATATTTGTCTACAGCTTTTTCATTTTCCCACAGATATCAATGAGTGTGCCTCCTCACCATGTGGCAGCAATGGAGACTGTGTGGATGGCGTCAACTCCTACATCTGTAACTGTAAGCCAGGTTACAACGGGACCAACTGTGAAAATGGTGAGAGAACTTACTTACATAATTGCTATTCTTTAGAGCACCATTCAATTAATTTTGACAATGTCGTAACGGTTGCTTTATTGTTTCTGACCTTTTTTTCCACAGATATCAATGAGTGTGCCTCCTCACCATGTGGCAGCAATGGAGAATGTGTGGATGGCGTCAACTCCTACACCTGTAACTGTCACCCGGGTTACAGCGGGACCAACTGCGGAAATGGTGAGAAAAATAACAAAACTTTGTTAACTTGTAAAAGAAAAGACTTACTCTTTCTATGCAATAGCTTCTGTGTATTGTTTTTACATATGTTTGTTTGATTTGCACTAGATATCGATGAGTGTGCCTCCTCACCATGTGGCAGCAATGGAGACTGTGTGGATGGCGTCAACTCCTACACCTGTAACTGTCACCCGGGTTACAACGGGATCAACTGTGAGGATGGCGAAAGCAGTGGTAAATCTTTAAATTTTGTTACATTCGTACTGCAAACTCTGAATTTTGAAATGACGTAGAATTTGAGCTTAAGCTTGATGTACGTCTATGAAAATTGTAGGGTATTATTCTTCCACTTAATGTTGAATTGTGCTTTAGATCGATACATTTTTCCTTCAGATTTCACCATTCAACGTATTATTGTACGGTTAATCGTAACACTACATGTTATTTACATTTAAATCTTTAAACTAGTGTAACAGGTGTATTAACACCAAGCCTAACAGGGAAAAGTAATGGTTACAGAAACTGAGATTGTGTTGATGTGATACTCTTCATATGTAATGCACCTTGAAAAAAACATTTTAATGTTTTTGACGAAATAACGTCCTTATCTTCTGAAACTTATGGAAATGACTAGCTTCCGTTTACTTATTCTCTAGTGATATCTACGAGTATACTTGGTCTCTGCAAGAACGGCTTTATTCCGTGCGAGGTGGAATGTAAGTATTGAAATCTTACAAAACTACTCTAAAATATCGAATAGTTCTATTCGCCTTTCAAAAGTTGTTCGCAAAGGTTTTGATAAGTTAACATACATGGATCAGTTATAATGTAATAACAGTTGGTAAGGCTGTCGGTGATGTAGATACGATGTAAACTTCCTTTTTAACTAAACTCCTTAAAATTCTGACCCACATCCTGTCAGTAACAATGTGCATTTCCAACAGTCTGCTATTCATTTTAGTTTGCACATACAATCAAGACTAAGAGAACAGACCTTAAGATATATTGTTCCTCTACCCTCACAGATATACTCCTTGCGCTTCTGGCTCTCCTCGGCTTGGTCTGTCTCATGGCCTTCTGCTGCCTTATTATCTACTGGTGGTGAGTACATCTGGGGCACTTATCACACGATTCTGTCAGTTCAACGTTCATGAAAATATGTCGTCATGATGTATTATACACATGTACTTACTTACACTTGCATGATGCATTATAGCTTATAAACTTGAGTCCTAAAATGCATTTTATGAAAATAGCCATTTGTCACATGTGTATCATTCCGTGATATAGTAACATGTCTTTTGATATCTGACGTTGCATCACAAACGAGCAAGTTCTCCAGCAAGCAAGATCACTGTCCTTGTTCGAGATCCTACGGCGAAACAGGCTGCGCTGGCTCGGCCACGTGGCCAGGATGGACGACAACAGGCTTCCTAAGAAAATACTGTACGGTGAACTCTCTCAAGGGAGTCGACAAAGAGGAAGGCCTAAGCTCAGGTTCAAGGACATGTGCAAAGCCACTCTCCAAGACTTCTCCATTGAGTCCTGGGAGAAGGTAGCAAGTGATAGGAGCAAGTGGAGAGCAGCAATACACAAAGGGACAGAACTGTTCAAAGCTGCCAGAGAGACCAGGAAGACAGATGCAAGGAGTAGACGAAAGGGACTCGTAGCGGAGAAAAGCGCCACACAGGACTACTGCTGCCGATTCTGCGGCAGAGCCTGCCGGGCCAGAATCGGCTGTACCAGCCACGAGAGGCGCTGCCCAGCCAGACCCCCAGAGAACGACTGATGCTGCAGATCGTCTGGCAAGACGACAAGGGCCCAAGATTTAAAAAATCTGGCCAACATGACATGATGATGATGTGAATTGTTAACTTTGTAGACATAATTGCTATTGTGGTAACTGATTCAAACCACATATAACGACCATGGTGCCATGATTGTTCTTTTGTCTTTGCAGTGATGAGAGAAGAAACAGGACAAAAGATGGTGAGTAGACTTAACTTATTTGATGAAATTGACCTTATTTAACTTATTTCTGTCATTCGTCATCGTATATAAATTATCCATTGATTTAAATCGAGGTTCTCCAATGCAGGTGATGACCTGGAAGATGAAGTATATCTGTGGCCAACCAAGTGGCTGCAGGACATGGGGTATGTATCAGTTATTACCAACACCTAAACTGACTAGGGGTCGTGTGGCGTAGCGGCAGCGTTCTCGACTCGGAACCAGAGGCCCCGGGTTCGAGTCCTGACATGCCACCGATCTTGTGCCCTTGGGAAAGGCACTTTACATGACTGTCCTCACTTCGATCAGGTGTAAATGAGTATTGTACTGTCCCTGTGTTGGTGGCGGCATTAATATAAGTTGAAAAAACTTGAGTGTGCCGTCACCACGTCTTGTGATTGCATGTTTCGGAATATATATATATATAAAAACTGACTACTGTAGTATTAGGAAAGCATAAAAAATCTACAGGTACGCGATCAGAGCAACGTGAGCAATGGGTTAAAGAAAGAGGTATGACGTATTGGTTAAAGGAACATGTCGTACATAACGTTTCAATTTTTCCTTGATGAAGAAAAGATAGCCTGACCAAAGATACTTCAAATACAGTTCAAACTCTACTATTAGACAAAATATGGAGATTACCGTCGGACATTTCGAGTGTCATTTCGAGAGTCATGACACCCATCACTCTTATTCAGCGTTACTATAATGTACTTGCTGAACTAGTGAGCACTTGTGTATGAGAAAATTAACAATCGTTTTAATAATGTTTTCCCCTGCAGTGAGAAGGAAAAGGGATACGCATCTTCAGAGTTCTCTTCCAGCTCAGGAGATGGAAGGTCATCCAGGAAGCCATCGAGCACCACATCAGCGGAAAGAATGTCCTCCGGGTATCCCCGCCGTAACCACCAAAGGGAAGTAGATATGGCTAGCGATGCCGGGTCTCGTCACTATGACAACAGGATGTTGATGAAGAGGCTGTCATATCCTCCATCCATCCCGTTTCCAGACTATGACAATGGCGGTGTGAGGAGGGGAAGAGTTTCTAGAGTTTCTAATATGTCTAATACCTCCTGCTAGTGTTGACATATCATCATCATCAACGTTTTCATGATTTTTTCTGTAAGAGTTTGCTGTCTGCAGACTACAAAGTTGACATTTTCTTGATTATATTATATCAGAATTTGTTTAGTCTGACACAACACATTTACGGTTACCAATCTTTGTTGTCTTGAGTGATGTTGAAACATGCATGTAATCATGTTCAATGGCCAACTTTTATTGAGACGGACTCTCAGGGAAAACATGTGGTGTAGTTTCCCCAAACCTGTATAGAACACACCGCAGTATGAATACTTCCGAATTGATAGTTGATAATGTAATTAATTCATAAATGACCTTTAGTATAATGGAAAATATCCACAGGCAGACCTTTCTACATGCACATGGACTTAACGAAAAGATGGGGTTTAGTATCAACAATGTTTATCAATGGAATTCTAGAATGATGGAGGTTCAATGATTAATTACACGAGTAAAAGTAAACTTTTATTTAAAAATCGTTTCCACTGTACATCAAAACGACTGGTAGTTTTAACCGCGAGGTATGTTTAATCAATACTTGAATATGTCTACGCATCTTCGGAACGTATTTAAAGACTGGTAATCTGCTAACTTATACGGCATGCCCCCTATCTTGGTCCATACCTAAACTCTAGCTACGTTTGTTACTTGATAGTGACCCGACAATGTACTGTTTTGTATGTTGGTGAGATAGTGCTCCGTATGAAACACAGTTTGCGAAATGTCTTCTGTATCGTCGTAACATACAGTTTATCACTGGATGTTGTCCATGCGACGACACCGTGTAAAATGTCGCCCAATCTTTTGGACACAAATAGAGTATGGAAGCCATCACGGGTTCACAAGTTATTTGACACGAAAAATTTCCCATTTGATAAACTCTTAGATATCTACATATTAACTACCCCGATGAGAAGGTATGAATGGTAAGATCGTCCGATAAACCCACAATCTGCAACTCGTTCACTTCCGTGAATTGGAGACACCATAATGTCTTGGCGAGTAGAGTATCTTGGTAAGGTGCTTACACTCAAACGGCCCTTTTGGTGTGCAGAGCTTGCATGAAGGGTTCGGTGGAGAAGGGATACTTTAGGGAAACGTTCATCCATGAAGGTGACGAGATAACAACGTCTGGATGTTTCATGTCACATGTACGTTGTGAAGACGTTGATTCAACAGGTAATGTCCACATTGGGGGTTAGGAAGTCTCCATTCTGGTGAAGCTGTTCTCTTTATTCGTATGTACACCATGTCTGGTTCCTTCGGTGAAATTGCTATCAACGACTATTACTTCCGATTATTGAAGTATTGTTTTGGGTGGCCGAGTTTATGGGATTGTCTGCCCTAATTGCTTTCGGTTACATGGTGGGTTGGAGGTGATATTTGACAGTTGATTGATAGGGAGGTCACCTGAAGGTGACCTATCACGCGCCTTCAGGAAGTACTGAAATACCCGATTAGATTACATCGTGATTATACAATCTCCACAGTTCTCAAAACACTTCTCGGAGGTCTGCGAACTTGAAAGTCACGGAAAATCCTAAGTACTTCCCGGAAGTCTGAGATCTCCAATGTTTCCATCCAGTGCAGGATGTTTTATAGGAATGGAATCTCGCAAGCCGCTCCTAGAAAGCGTGGATCTCGTTGTAGCCAGGTGGCCGCTGGCTGGGGTTATCTACAGCTTTACACTCGAACAGACCGCTGTGTCTCGGGGGAAGCTCCTAAGACGGGAATGAACGACAAAGAAAGTTGAGGAGAGAACGATAGTTATATAACCTTTAGAAAACATCAACACCTTTTGGTCTAAATGGTTATAAAAAATAAACCAACTGAGAAGATGCTTCCTGCTCCTGTTGTGTAGTTTGACCAGAGTGCGTGGCTGGTATACGTATTTACAATGACAGAACTACACAGCGGCTAATCATATAGAAAACAGTCTGGCGCGTGTTGTTCAAGACGTGTACATGCAATGGTAGCCAGAGCACAGCGAATGGAATGCATATGGCTTCACTAGACGTCACAGGTACTCACAAGACATTTGTTTCCTTACAGTGATAGTAGGGGCGCACTCGCCATCTCCGGAGGGGCGGGGCTGCAGGTCAGGGTCCGGGCTCTTGGGCTGGTCTCGCTCCACGGTGGCGTAGGAAGGAAGCACGTTTACCAGTCCTGAGTAGAGACAATATCGTCTTACATATATACTGAGATGTCAGGATTGACAACGACCTAGAGTTAAGTACCTGTCACACATAGGATCACATAGCCAACCATGGCTGTCTCGACGTTCCTGTGGTTGGGAGTTGGTCGGGAAGGTCGCTTACCAGTCGTTGAAAGTCATCTGCGTCAGCCGACTGTGAATTTTTAAAAATCAAGGATGGAAAAGGCATATTCTTTTAAGCCACAATCTGAGGAGCAACCTTGAGTTAGAATAGGGTGGATTCCAGGCTACTCCCAACCCAACCGAGCGCTGTCTTGGTTGTCGGGAATAGTCAGGAGCAAAGTCGTGGGATAGTCTTAAATGTGTAACATCAGCTTTGCTTATTGTGATATCCAGTGCCCAGTATTACATAAAAATGGTATTTAGGTTGTTCTTATCTGAAGGAGCTCGAGCGAGAAATCTTGCCATAAGACTTCATATAGTCTCTCTAAAGTCAGAAGGATGACCTCAGACTTACGTGGATAAGACAGTCCTATTGAGTACGGGTCCTTGTCCAACCTGGGCGGAGGGCGGGGCTTCAGGGTGCCGTTGTTGACGTCATACTCGTACAAACCCTCGGGCTTGCCGTCCCGTTCTTCCCTGTCCACCATGTCCGGGCCAGGGACAGGCGGGACAGGTCTCGACACGGATACACTGGATGTTTCTGGGTAAAAAAATTGTCAATTGTCATGCAAAAGAAGTTTTCCAAGGGGTGTTTAATGTTGGCAATATAAGAGACAAAATGGAATAGTTTGAGTTAATAAATGATGGTGGCAGCGATAGACACACAACGACTTATTCACAGTAATAAATCTCCATTGAGCATGTTGAAGCCTGTACTACTAGCGCCACCTATCGTGATAGCTGATAAATGCAACACACATTAATTGGTCGTTAGGGTAGAGTGGATGGGGAACGGGCAGGTGGTCTCAAACAACTTGATGTGAAGCACACGAGGTTTTCCTGCTGCCTCACCTGAGTCCCTGTCGTCACAGATCCAACCTTTCTTCTTGACGATACAAACTCCGACGATCACGGCCAGGAGAGACACCACCGTCGTCACAGCGATCACGATGATCAGTGTCAGGTGAGAATCTAATAGTTAAACATTACACACTCAGGAACAAAATATATGTTTAATATCTATGCCACTTCAACTGTCTATTTCTAACAATAAATTTGCCCGAAAGCTTCCAATTTTCTTTAAGGGCAATCGTATTCGGAAGGAATGTTTACGATCTACGTGGAGTAATTAATGCAAACTACGTCTGAACGCATGTATACGTAGGAGCCGAATTAAAAAGAAAGATTACATTACGTGGATATAAATTATTGAATTTTCTCTCGCTTTCCCTGAAGTGATAGCCCGTGTTTCATATCGTAGCAGAAAAGCAACAAACTGTTTCTACCAAGAATATGTATTCAGACGGTACGTGGCTGTTACCTTGTACTTCCAGCCTGAAGTCCTTCTGGTCCGAGCCGAACATGTTAGACGCCCGGCACATGTAGTTCCCGGCCTGGTCTAGCGCCGCCGTGCTGACGGTCAGCAGGCTCTTCACACCTTTGTTCGTTCTCTCTTCCCTCACCTGCAGCGGTACGAGGTAACAGTTAGGCATCGCAGTTTAAGCGTACACTGGTGATACACCATAATAATTAGTACACAGGGCATAGGGTTATGCTACAAATGTGAACATTTAAACTTTGGTATCATCTCATATACCGCGACGTGTTCTGTGATCCCTGCAGTGTAGATGGTCTCTTTTCCGTTGGAGTCCCTCCAGAACCACGTGATGCCGTCGGGAACAGGGTCGGACGCCACCTCACAGATCAGCGTGGCGTCTCCGCCCTCCACGATGGTGAGAGTCGACAGGGAGCTGTCCCGCACTTCAGGCCTGCCTACAGGATCAGTGCAGACATTACGGACGTCAATTCAGTAAAAGAAGGTGGATATGGGGGATAGGAAAATGTTTCCAGTGCGAGTACTAGAAGAAGGTAATATGAAAACATGACTGGCGGAGGGAGTACCGTAAAAAGCTACAGGGAGAGCTTTAGGAGTATACTAGTAGTACAACATAAGGACGATACAAATTGTAAGGTGAAACAAAGGATGGATCACACAAAATGGGCATTGGGGAACCTATCACCTTCGACAGTTAGAATAAATCCTGAAACTAGTTCAAGTTATTGCTAGATTGAGAGAGAAGACTGACATGTTGAGCATTTGTGACAGACTTGTTGGACAGACCAGTTCAATTCCTGCCCAGTGAAGCCAGAATACGTGACTTTATTTGCAGCCCTGGAGAGCAGGCTGGAATATTCCAACCACGCGTCAACCCACATCCATCTCAGTCAGTCGATCCGAACCTCTCTCAACGTACAGCACAATTGATTCAAAGCATGGAAACATTTTACGTGATTAAATGTGATAAATGGCAACGTGTGTGGAAGAAAACCACCTCTTTCGGTCGCTTTGGCTTTTAGTAATGATTTTATTGATATCCGTTATTTCAAGTAATGCCGTGTCATAAATACGGCATCTGCCGCTTCCGGACACGTGAAGAATAGGTCCGATAACACGCGCCGAGTCTGTCATGTGCCCCGATGTGTGACCAGACCATCAAAAATTGAGGAAAAGTCGTACCATTTACGGTTCGATTAAGCACTGTCTCTGTTAAAGCCGCGGTCACATACATATCGTACATTACATGCACGATGTTTTTTCGCGACGATATCGCCGAATTTCGTAATATTGAGAAGAAATAGTGCAAGAGTGCAATAGTTTGATGTGAACCTCTTGCACCCTTTTCTTCTCAAATATAAAACGTTGAGCGGAAAATCCTCCATAGTTGGTGCATCGTACAATGTACATGTCCATGTACATGACCGGACCTGTAGCGACATCCGAAAAATACTTCCCCTCCTGATCAAACGTTCCATGCCGGACGACGTTGATCGACCTTGAGGTCAATACTCTGCCGCCTTCAACACGACTTTATATAGATGACCAACGACATGAGATTGAACCTGCCAGAGCAATCGCAAAAACACATCTCCTCTGCATATGATATGGTTTTCATCCGTATGGTAAATATGGAGTCTCTGGAATAGAAAAATGGTAGCGGCCATAACCTGACCTTTTGAATCATTTTTTTATTAATTGGGATGAAAATGTTGTATTTCCCGTTACCCGACCAGCTAGCTCTAGTACAAACCTTCTGACTCAAGCCTTTTCAGGGGCCTATCGCTCGCAAGGTACATAAACTATTCGATATGACATCTGACTGATGAACTGAGTGATGGAAACTAGTAGTAGAATTAGTAGAATCGTTTTCCAAAAGGAAAGAAATGACAGGAAAACATTGCTACACCATGAGTTCAGCACCATGGACAGACACCATGTTAAACTGTATTTGTCGACAACTTCGGCCGAAATCTAAAAAAAAGTGATAAACTGAATCCCTTCTTAACGACCCTAATTTTCCAGGACCGTAATCAGAAACGCAACATTAATTTACTTATGCCTAATAAAACACGTTATATAAGCACCCCAGTAGGAACTATCTTGATAGGCGCAGGGTCACAAGTCCGTCACATGTGCCTGATCACGCACCGGCAATTCTCATTAAACATGATGTATGACTCCGCTCATCTGGCGACCCTGGCGGGTTCATTGGCTCCACCGATCCCTGTCTGGGCGGGCTAATCAATCGGCGGGTCGGGCAGCGCACCTTAGTCTTTGATCCCGCGTGGAGGTCACGCTTATGAACCGTCTGTAACCTCATTATTCCAGGTGAACTACGATTAAGGCGCGCTCACCCCAACCCCGAACAAAGTTTCATCTCATTACGGCGCGGGCACGTTCGTCGTCAGTCGTCGCACGATTTTCGATACCGTCCAATTTTCATGCAGGCTGTAACAGCTGGGACAAGGATCTAAGACAGCGTTTCCGCTGACAGCTGTTGTTGTAAGACACATGTAAAACTATCCTCTCAGTTTCCGACCGAAAGACGACCGACGTATGTGGTCGGGGCCTTCATCACCGCTGCCAACCAGATCGTGTAGCAGACACTCCGTTCACTAACTTTGGAAACGCCATACATTATGCCGCTTTAATGCTGTACATAGATTTTTGCGTACAGCGCTTTGGGCCAGTGGTTAGCAATCCCTGTTGTGGATCCCAAAGTCGGGTATAATCCCAGCCTAACCACCAAGTTTCTGTGCCTCTGTATGAACCCTAATGGAAGGGCAGCTGTGGTCTTTAAGAGGGTATATCGTAATCTATTCGTCTCCAAGCAGATTACACGCCGTGAGCTCTTCACGTTCTTTGAAGAAACCGGCGATACTCGATAGGATGAGCTCCCTTTGCTTATGACGGCCCCATCAACTCTAATCCCCAGAAATCCGGCCCCTGGCTGTAAATAAGATGCTATCCGTGCACCTACCTCAACTGATCCGAAAACGCAGAGTACTAGTATGTACTAGATATTTGGATATTCTCTTTGAGAACAGTGTGTTTACTTGACGGACATACATATTCCTAAAGTTTCTTACATAGCTCCTCTAATTCATGTAAAATCTACACTTTGTGGCCGAGTCACAAACATCGTAGGACGTACCTACACATGTACGACGGAGGAAATCCTCGAGAATCGTGCCATATGTCGTAGATTTGAGAATAAACGAGTGCGATATTTTTAAAAAGTTTTTTTTAAATATCAATGTGTTTAGCACCGTTTTTTTCTTAAACCAACGACGTGCGGCTATAACGTCGCTGAAGAATCTATATTAGAGATCATCATACAGTACGATGTATGTGACCGGGGCGTTAGGTAAAATAATAATGTGCCAGATGGGCGCCCTTCGTAATCACAAGACAGTTCTGCTAACTTCTATATTAGTTGAGTTTTCCTGTGGTGACCTGTGGGGATGAGGCTAATCCCGCCTTAATAGATATTTAACGATCTCAGCGTGATTAATGGTGGACCCTCGACCTACAACGATGTGATATCGACCGCTGTTTTTTTCTGTTTGGCACATTCTTCATGGAAGTGATGTATTTTCAACGGTTGGCTGAGCTTTTCTGAAAACAAAGTGCATTGACCTGATACATTCCCAATAGTAACAGAAATTCGACATCATCAATTATTTGTCAGAGGGTAACGCCAGGAAGTTAGTAACGAATATGTTATTAAAAAAACGTGACAATAGCATGTCCAAAGCACCAGACATGAACACCTGACGCTTTGCTGAACCGAAATTGTTTTGACTTATTTGATACCATACATTTTCAAAAAAATCTAGTGGAGTTTCCTTAAGGGGAATATTTGTAGGGATGAACAGTGGAGTTGTTGTATAGCTATATCACATTCCCTTACCGACCACATCGATGAAGGTCTCCTTATCCACGCTAGCAAACCCAGGACTGCTGGCTACGCATGCGTATTTCCCCTCCACGTCATAGTTGACGGGGGACAGCACCAGCGGGTTGCCCATGTACAGCTCTGTATTCTGCCGCCGCCACCTCACTTGCGGCCTGGGGTTTCCCTCCGCCACGCACTCCAGCGAGAACCCGTCCTGTCCGTACAACACGCTGACTTTGGTGTCAAACGTCTGCCTGATTCTCGGAGTAACTGGAGAATTTTGTATGATAATAAAAGGAGGCAGGTTAAAACTATCTTAAAGCTCAAAAAGAAATGATCACTGTTACATGACAAGCAGCAATGACGTTATTTCATCCCTAAATTCTAAGGATATAATGTCATGTATAGTGAAATACATTAAAAGAGATTACGCAGCCCAAGCAGTCCGTAATGCAAATGGTGACGCAAGATACGAGTATTCAAGACAAGTTTTCATACTCAAATGTGTACCAACGTTGGTGCACATCCGTTCTAGTGTGAAATTGATACATCGGTTTGTTAACAATAAGAACGAGTGCAGACGTGTAGGAAGAAATTCATGGTCTTACACAGAACCTCCAGTGTGAACGTGCCGTAGCCGTCTGGAGGAATCCCGTTTTCCGCGATGCATTGGTAAATCCCTGCGTCCGAACTGGACACTCTGTCCAAGTGTAGCACCTGGCCTCTGTGCAGATAAACAGATAAAACAAATTCAACAAAATTGTAGACTTTCGGGTTTCTTGTGACCTTTTTAAGGTTTAATATACAGGCTATACAGATAAAGATTTAAAAGTTCTGTATCTGTATCTGTATAGCCGGTATAACCAACCGCCTTTCGGCGTAACACACTAGATCCTCCTCATTGTCTGTGTCTGACCGTATGGCCTGTCATTCTACCTGTCATTCTCCCCCACGCACGTGCTGTTAACTTACACTATCCGGACAAACAGGAACAAAAACCCCAACTTAAAAAAAATATAACATCTCCTCTCAGTGTAGGAAGCAAGGAGGATCGCCTCACCTGTTATCTACCCTGAAGGGCAGGGCGTGGCCCACCTTCCTCCAGTCGACGTCAGCAGGCGGGTTACTATCCACGTGACACGTGACGTTCAGTGACTCTCCCTCCATCACACGTGACGACTTGGGCGTCACCGTCACTGTCGGGGGATCTGCCAACATACACGTGAAGTGCTGAATTGGAATCATGACGAGGTGTTAACATCGTGATAAGTATCCTATTCTATGATGGGTAGGAGAGGGATCTTGTGTTAGATGTAAAGGTCAGATGTAAAGGTGGTTAAGGACACGGACACATATGTCGTGCGAACGTCGTACGATCACAAACTGAGATGAAGACATCCTTGGCCGTGCACATGTCTTGCAACATTCAGCTTCCTTAGGAGCGGGAAAGGCCTGTCAACGGTTGGCTCTGTCACAAAGAAAGCCTAGACATTCTATCGCATCAAAACCGTACGACGACCTACGACGACTGTGACCAGGCCGTTACTGTTATTCTCTGATACCAATCCCCAACACTACTATGGTATCATAAATCTGTAGATCCATTCTTTACATCGCGCTGGCTGCACACTAACGGCCCGGATATACCTGTGTGTAGGGTCAGCTGTCCTCTAATGCCCATAGAATTATCTCCGACAGACCTCTCAGAGCTTGTATCAGAACACATCTCTTTTAGAACTGAAACGTCGCGTATTCAGGGCATCAACATATGTGGTGCCTTATCACGGGTGTATTGTCGCAAAACCCTCAAACCTGCACGAATTCGAAAAATATATCATTCAGAAGTATGCCATTAAGGTTCAGACCTGTATCTAACATTACAAGATCAGCATCATGGGGAGATGCTATCTGAGGGTCATCCGGCTATTGATGGGCAGTAATCCGGATTTATATGGGATGTAGTCAGAGATAGTAAACTGAACTCGGATTACTTTTATGTACGTCAAACAATAACACGTGTTCACATGTAGACATGTTGTAGATATTCCGTACATGAATCGAAGTTCCCAGCGGAGAGTACTGCTTCCTTCTGTCAAATGATGACAGCTATGTGCAGATAACAAATGTACCATTTCCTCACGCACACTGGGAGACGGAGCAAAGGATAAGCCACCCTTACCGTACACAAGTCTTACACAGGGTTGTGCCATTTTTACTAAGTGACGTTTAAGAATATTTTATGGGTGCAACTGTTTGTCGTGAACGGTTGTGTGGTCGTTTAATTCATAAATTAGATTAGCATATTCTACATGTACATTGACGTGGCTATCATCTTCGTGGACAATAAAATGTGAATTCATTACTTTATTTTTCATATCATTGTACACCACCGGATACATATATAAGGATATTTTCCTTTCCGTATAAACTGGAAACGCCGCCCCATTAGGTTGAAATCTCCCAATTTCACGACCCATAACAATTATTATCGATAAATCGGAATTCACCCGTATCATCTAGATGGGGTCAACAGTTACAGATGGGTCATTGGGCAGAGGGGCTCTTGATTGGTCCTATAGGGGGAAGCCAAGCGTTGACAATTGTGTGGACCCACATATTCATCATAAGAACGGATAGTGGTTTGGAATATAGCATGTAAAGCTGTTCAGAGAGACACCGAAAATTACCAGTCCCATCTTTTCAAACTGCTGCTCCTTGAGAAATTTCGAAAGTGTGTCAAGCTCTAGAAAATGTTGAGGCCGCGTTAATGTAAGTGCATGGACCGGTACCATTTACAACTTGCTACTACGCGTATACGCGAAGTGCAACATAACGTACTGCACTGCTGCACAAAATGTTAGTGGCATAGATTAAGATACACACAACATACGTCCAACGTTGGGAATAGATGACACCAATTACGACTTTTCATTTAGTTTATTGTTTCAGCGCTGAGCGCATTAACATGTTATTGATCGGGGTTAATTCATCTGTTTCTATTCTGTCGTAATCATACCAACATGTTCGCAGAGATACATCCATTAGTAACTGAATCTAATCATTTACAAGCTGTTAGTGTTTCAAATATGTGAGAGAGCGAGCCCAGTGGACCGACCCATTGATGAAGAACAAACTATTCTGTCTTTAGCCAGTCAGGTTAATAAAGTCGTTATTTTAATCACACACGTTTACAAACAGGCAACGAAAACTGGCCTAACGGGATCCGAAAACTCAAGTTCTCTCTTTCTTCATAGGTTCGAACAGAATATTGAGCACTACGGGCAAATAAGGCAACATGCCTCAATCCTTGTGTTTCTTTCTACTCATGGGCAATTCAAACTCTACTTTTGGATAGAAGACGGAGATTACTTCCGGGCGTTCTGAGTGACATCCAACGCTCTTCTTCAGCGTCACTAGAATGAACCGACAGAAACGTCCGAAAGTAATTTCCGTATTTTATCCAGCAGTAGAGTTTGAATTGTATATATGTATCGTTTCCCTGGATGTTTAACTTTCAGCACCATACTCTAAGACTTATAGATGTTCTACAGCTATCGTCCTGTTAGACCAGCTTTCCGTTGGACGTGGTACTTACATCTGACGTTTAGGACCTTGACGGCTGTCCTGGGCTTCACCAGGGAGGGGAACCCCTGGTCTGCCTTGCAGGACAGGTTCGCGCCGTTATCCCATTTCGTTAGGTACGGGATCACCAGGTTCAGCATCACTTCACCCTTGTTGATCCCCTCCTTGAAGGCGTCGTCCGGGAGCTTGTAGGGCCTGGTGCCGTTGTACCAGGTCAGGCGGGGAGGGGGCCTGCCCCCTACCGAGGTGCACGTCAACATCAGCCCCTGGCCTGCCTTACGGGGGGCCGTGTCACCAATAATGTCGGGCGGGCCCGACAGTGGAACTGTGGCATGACGTAATGAAGACCAATTTCGCTTTGTGTAGTCAAAAGAAGAAACAATTGCACCAAGTACCCAATACTAGAACTATCCTAGTTTTACTTTGTGTAAAAATGGCACGACCCGGTGTATTTCGTTTGGCCTTACTACTATTGCTACTAAACTGGGTAATTTGGAAGCTCTAGTACGTGGAACCGATGCAATTGTGTCTTTGTAAGGTTCATTTTTACTTTGTCATTGCACACTTGGATAGCTTTTGTCACTCTGGGTGGCGAAATGTGCATTAATGAATGGAGTCAAGGACTATACAGTGCGTTATAGTGCTGTGTGAAAGCAAGTTACATTATCTGGATAACCAGGATGTAATGAATGCTCGTACACGCAAAAAAAAACAAGACTGAAAGGACTGTGGCTCTGAGGCTTACAGAAGTAGGTACAGTACACTTCTCAGTCATATATATTTCTTGCATATTTACGAGTGGTGTCAGCTCTATCCATTGAGCTAAACGTTAAGATTAAGATATGCCCATACACGCCTGACTTTCGTTTCGTTGCTTTCAACATAACACTCTGACAAAGACTCTCCCCGGCCATTGACAGAAGCAAGCCTGGTTGACTCTACACCTACATCTACATGATACAGGACAAAGTGCCTCACAGCACATCACGTCCTGGGAAAGGCGGTGCAGCTAGTGTGGCAAGTGGTAGTGCACGACAAAAAATATACAAACAAAGTAAGGAAAAGAGCAATGCATTTTCTGCACTCTTTGACCTCTTCTGATAGCTGGCTCTATAAATGTAGTGATGTATTGAATGCACGAGGCTCACCTGTAGGTAAACACAAATGAACTCATCACGAGCGATCGCTGTTTTTGTTTATATCATATACATGTAAATCATGATCATTTGAAGACATATATCCAAATTTTGGTAGGCATATCAACCAACTGTCGCCCACCTTTGCCTACCACTATCTGGCCGTGATGTCCCGGCGATCGCTCGTGTAAGTTGTGATACATGACGTACCTACTACTGTAAGGGTGGCGTCAGCTGTCTCATCTAGTGACAGTGTGCTGCACCGGTATTCCCCCTCGTCTGAGTTAGCTGCGCGCAGAATCTGTAAGTTGTGTTCCCCTCTTGAGGTGTCTCCAAGGATTCGGTACCTACGGGATGGGTCGGTGGGGGGATGTTTAGGAAAGAACGTTAACTGCGTGTCTATGTGATTTCATCTGTAATATTACATATTTGACAGGGCAGTTCCTTGGGCCATATGGCATTTTTTCTATTACATCCTACATATTGGTATATATTATTGATGGAGAATTTTTTACTGCTGTTTCACCATAGGAGGCAATACAAAAACATCTGTTGTTTTTGTGTGTTTCCACAACGTTTCACGCCCCAGTGGTAATTCTAGCTTCATGATAAATATATATATATATATATGATAAGTTACATCTATCATAATCAAAACAAACAAACAGAATAAATCATACCACTACTTGCTTGCTTGCTTCAATACAAAAAATTCAATGTGTATAGGCAATGACTTCTGGTAATGTTCTGTGTGTGCCAAGGTTATCCTGTCCCTTATCAAGTGCAGTAAAGCTTGATATATAACCTTCATATGGCAGTTTGTTCTCATGATTTACATGACCTGACACTTGTGGTCCCTTGGGGAACGGAAGGGGTTTTTATATGTACGTTAAACGTATGACTCTAAACATGATGACCGTTGTCCCAGAAGCGTAGTTATGAAGTGCTAATTGATAATGTATGCAGTATTTCCGCCAATTGAAAAAGATCAGCGATTCAATGCGCATGTTATATCGTATGAAAGACTACTTTGTACGTTTCTTTTCATCCTTTTATAGCATGCAGATGATAGGTTATTATCAAATATATGTTCTGCAAGGATTTGCAGTTATACCAAGAAATAGGGTATTGTCATATATACCTCCCCTTGAAGCGTTTAGCGATGACGTTGCCGCTGGAGATATGACGCATATCCGGCGGACCGTACCACTGTACCATCTCTGATGGGGGGAGCCCGTCGATGGTACAGTGGAGTGTTACTGTATCTCCCTTCAGCACATCAGCAGATTTCGGTCTCTCTCTGTAAGACGCTCCGTCAACTGTGGTGAAAAATCATGAACAACATCTTAATATATCATAAACACACAATTCTCAATCAGATCATCTGTATCTTCACGGCCAGTATAACCGCCCTTCCGCGTAACACACCAGCTCTCGGAGGCATGCAGTGCACCAAACGACCTGTTTCACCTAACCTTTACACATCTAACTGTAAGCTTGGTTCAAAGCTACTTGGTGGCAGCGAATTCCACTCTACGATGGTTCTAGGAAAAACGATTCTTTGAACACCTCCATCCTTGGTTGATAATCCTGGTATTTGATGGTATTTCTTGTTCATACAACCCAGTTGCTCTCTGCAAACTGGCGCTGAGGAGGCTAGTGTAGTGCTTTTGATACTTAGGCGTAGCTTGGAGTTGTGTGATTCAAGTGTCTAATATCACGTCCTTCATCTCTTAATGCACGTTCTCTCTTTTTCCTGTTCATGAAAAACATATAAAAACCGCTTCTCTGTAAAAGCTAATGTCTTTTGTTTGTCACCAACATTCATTAAGTAGTGGCAAAATTAGCCAAGACATCATGAAATGTTGCAACAACTACAGTTCTTTTAATCTAATTCAAGAAAAAACATATTCAGTCTGCTAACGTCATAGCCTGCAGAAATAACACGATTCCATGACAGCTTTAGAATACGAGAAGCTCTTCCTATATACCCTTCCTAGTGACTTATTTTACATTCCAAACCGAGCCTGCCTCAATAGTAGTTTTATTTCGTGCTACATTCACTTCAGTAACAGACCATTTGAAGATGTCTCGGGGGGACAGCTGGTACTCCCATAAAATAAACACGCTGTTGCTCGTAAGGATATACTTGCCGATATTTCAATTGCGGTAACATTACAACGAAGCAAAGTGAGTCGTAGAACCAAGTGTTACATAGTGTTAGTTTGAATGATCTGAGATCATCAATCCTAACATAACTCAGTGATGGCCCCATTGAACGGGACCGTTAACATACGTCTCCATATTAACGCTGTAGATTGCTCGATAAGACTGAAAGTGAGAGCTATAAAACGTGATAGCTTCCTTGCGGCCTAGATAAGCAATCAACCCATCTGGAAGATTGACATGCTTATGATCACTGATGATGTATAACTTGGTTTGAATCAGACAAGCTTTTTGTAATAGGCTTCACATCCCTGTAGCCGCACGTTATTAACTATATTAGTAGGAATACGTTCAGCTGTCGTGAGTTATGAAGCCATTACCCTAGTCGGTACAGAGGTAGAGATGTACTAGCATGAAGTATTTGACAAATGTAGAGACTAGAGTTAGAGTAGCAGTATATAGACATATTTTCCCGACACGATTTTCGCCATCGCAAGATGTTCGGCTAAACCATCCACTATACAGCGGGATTTCCAAACATAAACGCTGGTAGTCTTCAAGGCGACCATTTTACCCGAAGATTACATGAAGATGTGAGCAGAGACCACAGTTTATCTGAAGCTGACATTATAAGTAAGATTTAGTTCGTGTAGAGAGATTAGGGTCACGCAATGTCATGTGTAGGTCATTGGGGGTGCACTGACTGACTCGGATGACTTGCATTTTATTAATCTTATTTCACTAATAATTCTAAGGAATAACAATGTCTAAAAGTGCCCATGACCTTTGCGGAATTACGGATCCTAAGAATTATAAAAAGGGACGTGTGCCTCCTATTCTATCCATTTTGGTGCGGAGAAGGCATGACCACACATTGTTTGGTCTTCAACAACATCCCTATTACTGACGTTTTGCGTCTGTTTTTTTTGGCGATTGTACACTGGGACAGAAAAACAAACGGCGGTCTGAGCAATGCAAAAAGTGTTAGTTTTAAAATCCACGAACATGTAATTCGGCTGAATCTGCCTGGAGATCGCGAGGTCACCTCATCTCTCTTAAGTGGAGAGCACGTCGGCGGAGAACTGGTTCACATGTAGCTGTATTTGTGTCAGCCCATCCATCACGCAGCCGGGGTACTGACCCTGCAAACGTCGCCATGATCTGCCGCAAATCTAGTCTATACTGTACTTATTGTGTTGTGGAAAAGCTGCCCCTATGTGATACAGGAAACGCCCTGCATACGCATGGAGAGACTTTGGAGTTAATCCCACAGCCTGCAGTTACTATAAGTTTTGGGCCATTACGTGGAATGTTAACGTTATAGAGGTGGCTAATATACAGTAGGTTGGGTACCTTGATCTTCAGAGTCAAATAACACTATTATAAACAAAACTTTTCAAACTGTACAATGTAGTATGACGTAGCGGGACAGTGCAACGTACTGGATAACACACGTATTGCTGTGTTCGCCTGAAACGCAACACATGTGCACACTGTGATATAAATCCATATTTATCTGAATATAACTACCAGACGTTTTTGAGCAATGATTGTTCATCCCATACGTTATCGACTCCTGACATCTGATCTTCTTGCATCAGGTTCCTCGGTGTCGTGCTCCCACGTCTATCTCCCCACACCAGACGCTTCCCTGGTCCTTCTTCAATTATTTCATAGCCGGGAATAAAGTCTTCTGTGCATCAATCTTTCAAACTCTCAATCTTCCTGACACACACTTTCTGTCGCCCAGGCGGGTCGATGAACATTTCTTAGTCAGTTTTTCTATCTATTCTTCATGGGACGTCCCAAATGACATGAAATCGCCCTAGTTTCCATACAGTCGTGATTGGTTTTACAGGAAACATAACAAGGGCCTGGGAGGAAGGATCAGATCTGGAGGGAAAGGTCAGAGGGACACTAAGTTTGTAAAGTTTGTTAGAGTTTCTCTTTTTCATGTCGAAAAGCAAACTTTTATGACTTGCACATTGGGAAATTAGAAACGTAAATGCCACTGTCATAATATGCCAGATGCCAATTACATCATCTAGATTGACATTGACATGTATCTGAGACAACATCAGTCCTCGTCCGCCCTCAAGAGGCAGAAATCACCACTCTGCACGGTTTTATTCCCAACCCAATAAAGAAGATTGCCTTGGAGAGGGTTCCTTGATTGGCATGTCGCTAAGTTGCAAGACTCGCTATCCCCAGGAGAGACTGACTCCCATGAATGTTCCGCCTTCCGCGTACGGAAAGATCGAACTTCATCTGCCGTGGCCCTGACTTTGTTATGGGTCAGGACTGGAAGGAACAGGACACCATTTAAAAGTGACCTGTCTACCTTGATAGACAGGTTGGCTATCAAAAGGTTGGCATCTATGCCGATCGAGTAGGATTGGAAATGAAAGATTTGCAAAAGGGGTAAAGGTGCTGTACAGTTTTGGTCAAATTACTATTCCATCCAACATGATAGAGGCCCAGCTGAAACGTGGAGATTGTTTTCCGACGCTTCTCTGCAAACGACTGTTTGCTGAACACAGGCTCTGTGGGGAGGAATATTTCTTCATAACGTTCGATACATTGAAATATAGTGTCTTAATGAAATATGACGAATCCCAAATCACCATTCGTGCCTAGAGACTACACTGAAAAATTATTTTATTATAACGTCTTTACAAGTGTTCAAAAATCTTGGGTGGACACTTTTTAGACGATAGACACGTACTTTATTGACACTCAAAACTGCGTGGACACATAATTGATCATTACTACTCATCGTTATGAAATGTTGGCAACACTTTTCAACAAGTTCAACGTCAGAGGTAAGCTCCAGAGAAGCGGAAGTGTCGGAAGCGGGACCCAGGTGTGTTGGAAGCACCAAGTCTAATAAGCACGTTCATCGTCCGGAACCGTCCGTTAGAAATTGAATGGCACAATAACCTGCTATTTTGTATTAACGGCCCGCCTGGCAAATGTCCCAGAACGGAGTTGGGAGGGAACGTGGAGCGGTCTGAAGCTGGGTACATCTGCTACCTAATGTATTCGTTTTTGTATATATTTGTACATAGTGTTAAGTTACTTTACTTTCTTAGTAGTATCGTTATGCTTTGCATTTGCATTATGATGATGCTACCTCTGTATGTATTATTCTTATAAGTTGGACAGAAACCATGGATGCATCCTTTTGCTGCTGTTTATTGCTCATTGTATTGCAGCAAAGCTGAAATAAATAAAGCACATGCATGCACTGACAATACCTCAGGAAAATGATGGTGAACATATGTCAGGAGCGATATCATCAAAACAACTGTAAATTTATGAATTGAATTTAAAAAATCTTCATTTTGATCAACTATGGACTAGGCTAAGGACAATCAACGTTATTGCTAGTCTATTTCCGTTGAGACCTTTGCTCTAGTAATCTACATTTGTGTTGTAAGGCAAATGAACTGGTGTATCTACCAAGCCTCTTTCATAACCCATCATTTAGTTAGCGTTATGGCCACACAGGCCCTCAAAGTCATACTGCGTATTGAATGTACATTGCAAACTACATACAATCCAGTTTCCGTTTCAGTTTACTTACTTCGGTGGACGATAAAGTCATTTATCTGCCTGTATTTATATTTGACTCAAATGACAGATATCTAAACTAAACAGAATTACGAAAAGGGTAAGAACATTGAATGCTAGCTTAAGGTCAGAGGCCAGCGTCAGTTGAATCAGTAATTCAATAGGTAGAAATGTTAGCATAGGCAACTTTCACAAAGGACATAAATTTCCGGGCACACTAGGCATTGTGTAGTGCACTATTTTTTTTAAATTGTAGATTGCACTGCCAAAGTGTCAAATGCTGCTAAACGAGTGGTTTCCAAATCCTCTTTACGGCAATAAAGAGGATTTGGTATTTGTGTCTTTATAACTTCCATTTCCTGTAGAATCTCCCTCGAGTGTCAATTTACGAATAGTCCGTAAGTCTAACGTGATATAACCTGAACTTGGTTTTGTACCTGATATACCGACCACATTCCCATATGGGACGATGGATGATGTACTGGCTATATTGTGTGGAGTTAATGAGGTGTTGGACATATCTTTTATAGCCTGTTGCGTTCTACCCGAACGTCGTATTGCGCTTATGTTATCAAACGGC